AAGGTGGCAGGAGATGTGCCCAGAGCGGCAGGGAAGGTTCTCAGGGCCGTGTCCGGGGACTTGAACTCCTTTGTGGTCAGTGGGACATGCCGTTCAACCGTGTCAAGAGAAAAAGTGATGGCTCAGATTTGGGTTTTAGACTCTGTGGAAGGGAGATTTGAGGGGGATACAGTCAGGGACAGGGAGATGAGCTGGGAGACTAGTTTAGCAGTTCAGTTGAGAAAAGATGGGACTTGAACTGGGGTAGTGGAGGGGAAGGAGATTCCAATATATAATTTGTATATTTAAACATTATGTTTACACATGTGTCTATATTCATTTATAAATGATGCGTTTAATATTTATATATACCCATGTAATTTGGAGATAAAATGCATGGGGTTGGTCATTTATTTGATGTGGTGAATGAATCAGGGAGACAAAGGAGGCAAGAAAGACTCCTGGCTTTTTAGCTTGAGCAGTTGAGTTCATGGTAATGACCCAAAACAGAAGACATAAAACGTGCAGTTGATTTGAGCCATGTTGGGCTGGGCGGAGGGGCTATTGTATACTCCCAAGGTAAAAATATATTAGGTGATGAAGAAATGATTGAACAAAGTAAACAGTGGACGGAATGAAGTTGCTTAGAAGAGTCTGCAGGTTAAGAAAAGCAATAAGCAAAATATCCAACACAGGAGCAGGATGAGGAGGACGCCAGCAGCTGACAGCAATGAGGAGCCAAAAACAGAAAGTGGATAAAAGGAATGTTATGGGCCTCAAAGAAATAGGATCTCCTGCCCTGCCTGTGTGTGTTGGGTTATTTCATGGGGATGGAGCCATGTTGGCATACAGACGAATGAGGTGGACACCGCCGCCACCTGGTGGTCATGGATGGACACACAGGGCGCGGGCACAGAGAAGGCGCATCCTTAGATTGACAAAATTCTAACTCACACCTCCCTTGAGCTGGGGACCCAGCAGTTGGACACTCAATAATTGGGGACGTCTCCACGTGGGTGGTCACGACGATAACAAAATCGCAATAACTTGTATCAATTGAATTCTTGCTAGGTTTCATGCTCGGTTTTACTCAGATTATCTCACTTGATCCTCACAATTGCCCAATGAGTAATTTCTAATTTCTCCTCTCTTTTTACGGGTGAAGCCGCTAAGGCTCAGAGAGGTACCTGACTTGCGCAACGTCACACAGCTGGTAAGGCAGTTGACCGTACAGCCTGTTCTCTTGGCCATCAGAACCAAAATGCCCTAAACGCACCTCCTCATCCTTCCTTTTCTTTTTTGTCATCGACGCCACCACCAGCTCTGACTCTCTGTTCTTGGCTGAGTGCACCAGCCTTTTAGTGGCTCTGCCCTGTGTTCTTCAAGCACTGTCTTTCACATCCCTGTTCAAGAAATTAAGAGGCCTCTTTATTGGCCAAGGCCGTGTTTCCCACGGGAAGATTCTGGGAGAAGCAGGTTCAGGAGATGTTTATTAGGGCATTACACAAAGAAAAAATCTTGTAGTCAAATACATTTTGTTTTTGTTTTTTCCAGCTTTATTGAGGTGTAATTGGTATACAAAAAACAGCACAGAATTAATTACACGATTTGGTGAGTTCAGACACATGCACACACCCGCGAAACCACCACCACAATTAAGGGAACGGACATATCCTTCACCTCCAGAAGTTTCCTTGTGTCCCTTTGTTGTGTTGTTTTTTTGATTGTAGTAAGTACACTTAACTTGAGATTTTTTTTTGCGTGTGTACGTGTGTGTGAGGAAGATCAGCCCTGAGCTAACATCTGCCAATCCTCCTCTTTTTGCTGAGGAAGACTGGCCCTGGGCTAACATTCGTGCCCATCTTCCTCTACTTTATAGAAGTAGAGGGACTTCTATAAAGTAGAGGGGGACGCCGCCACAGCAGCCCGATCTGAACAGGTGAACCCTGGGCCGCCACAGCAGAGCGTGTGTACTTAACCACTTGCACCACTGGGCCGTCCCCCTGAGATCTACCCTCTTAACAGATTTTTAGCTGCACAGTTACCTGCATTAATTGTATTGTTGACTATGGGCACCGTGTGGGACAGCAGATCTCGGGAACTTATCTCGTGTAGCTGAAACTTTATACCCACTAAATAGTGACTCCCCTTTCCCTTCCCCCACCTCCCAGTAACCGCCGTTCTGTCGTCTACTTCTATGTGTTTGACTATTTTCGATGCCTCACATAAGTGGAATCATGCAGTATGTGCCCTTTTGTGACTGGCTTATTTCACTTAGCATAATGTCCTCAAGGTCCATCCGTGTTGCTGCAGATGGCAGGATTGCCTTCTTTTTTAAAGGCTAAATAATAACTCAATAGCAAAAAACTATAACCAATTAAAAAATGGGCAGAGAATCTGAACAGACATTTTTCCAAATAAGACATATAGACGGCCAACAGGTCCATGAAAAGGTGCTCAGCATCACTAACCATCAGGGAACGCAAATCAAAACCACAGTGCGATATCACCTCACACCTGTTACAATGGCTACCACCAAGAAGACAATAGATAACAGGGGTTGGTGAGGACACGGAGAAAAGGGAACCTTTGTGCACTGTTGGTGGGAATGTAAATTGGTGCAGCCACTATGGAAAGAAGTGGAGTTTTCTCAAAAAATTAAAACTAGAACTACCATATGACACAGCAATTCCACTTCTGGATATTTATCAGAAGAAAACAAAAACACTAATTCAAAAAGCTATATGCACCCCTAAGTTCATTGTAGCATTATTTGCAATAGCCAAGACATGGAAGCAACCTAAGTGTCCATTGATGGATGAAAGGATAAAGATGTGGTCTATATACACACAATGGAATACTACTTAGCTATAAAAAATGAGGAAATCCTACCATTTGCAGCAACACAGACGGATCTTGAGGGCGTTTTGCTAAGTAAAATAAGTCAGACAGAGACAGAGAAATACTGTATGATCTCATTTATATGTGGAAGATTAAAAAACTCCACCAAACTCCTAGAAAAAGAGATCAGATTTGTGTTGCCAAAGGTGGGAGGTGGGGGAGGTGGAATTGGAGGAAGGTGGTCAAAGGTACCAACTTGCAGTTTTCAGATAATAAGTCCTGGAGTGTGATGTGCAGCATGGTGACTGCAGCTAACACTGCAGTATGACGTATAGGAAGGTCGTTAAGAGAGTAAATCCTAAGAGTTCTCATCACAAGGAGAATTTTTTTCTTTCTTTTTATTGTATCTATGTGAGATGACGGATGTTACCTAAACCTATTGTCAGAAAGTTTATACCAAGGCAGTCAATTTGGAGCTGTGCAGAAATGTAGTGACGTGCCTGTTTATGATAGCAGTGCTCACAACAGCAAAATCGGACAGAATCTAAATGATGATGCGCTTTCTAAGCAGAGTCCAGCTGCTCAGACAGGGGATTGCACACGAGAACATTGCCCAGGAGTGTTCCATAACAGAAGGTGGGTGTATTCTGCGTTATTGAGAGGATTTCAGGATTACACACAGCACTTGGCACAGTCCCATTTTTCTGTAGAAACGAAAAGCCTGAACTCCACTTGCAGGCAGGAACAGCGGCCTCCCTGGGTCTGTGTGACGTGCTCACCAATGGCTGCCTTTCCCTGGGTCTCTTAATCTTTTCTTGGTGCCCTATGAAATAACGGCCCACCTTCCCAGTAATCTAGAATTCTGTCTGCATGAGGCAGGAGTGACGTGAGGGTCTGGGCGGGATCCCTGTGGTGGCACTGCTCACTGGGGGACAGTACAGGCAGCCAGACGGCCGGGTTCTGGGACACAACTGCCCCCTTCCCTTCCACACCCGGTATGTCCTCACACAGTCAGTCACTCACATTCAGAGACTTGCACACACTCACACACACACACATTTGTGCTCTGTCTTCACACATTCACGGACTCACACACACTCACACACTCACAGCCTGAGCCAATACAACAGGCAGCCAGTCCCCACGGTCTGGCCAGGCCCCCAACTGGGGACAGCCCAGCCTGAAGCCTCCTCTGGGGCCAGCAGGATTATTGAAACCCCAAGAAGACAAAACAGAAAATTCTAGGAAGACTAAGCAAGGCGATCCAACTGGGATAAAGAACGAAAAAAATACAAGCAAGAAGAAAAATTAATACAAAACAGTTAAGCCAGGGGATCAATACTTTGATGGCTGTTTGCGTGAAGATTCTGACCAGTTTTCTAATCACTCTCTTATCTATTGTTAGTGTTTTGGTGGCTTGCTAGGACTTTGAAAAATTTAGATCTTAGGATATATTATGTATAAGTTTAATTAGCTTTTTACAAGTTTTTGATTAAGTTTTTACCTAGTGTCTAAAGTTTGGGAAATATAGTTTGTAAGACTGAAAAGTTTTAATTTTTATATTTGTGCAAATAGTCTGTGAGTATTTAGGGCAAAATTGACTGCTAAGTATTTTAAAAATGATCATTGTTTAGTAAATTCATGTTATTAATATATCAGATGTTAAGCAAAAAAGCAGAAAAGTGAGTAGAGAATTATTATCCACACACAAACCTCCAGGACACTAAGGAATATGTCAAAAATAGCAAACCAAAGGATACAACTAAAAATGTGTCTACTTAACTTATTTATTTTTAAAGTTAAAGTTATTTTAAAAAATTAAATGAAAACATATGGCTAATAAACCCAGTACAGGATTTTTAAGCAGGCACCAAAAGCACAAATCATAACAAAAAAAATGAAAAATGTGGATCTCGCCCTTGTCGACAGATAGTGAAGGATAGAAACCACTATGCGTACATAGTGTAAGATATATGTACGTAGGTCAGGTCACCATGATGTGCGCTTTAAATAGCTCATGATTTTATTTGTCAATTATTCCTCAATAAAGCTGAAATTAAAAAATAAAAGAAGCCAAGCCACATATAGCCAACACAGGGCTCCTAAGAGTAAGTATGGAACAGCCTGGAGTGTGTGAGGAACTCCTGCGATTCAATATAAGACAACAGCATCAGATGATAAGTGAGGTTGTAGTGAAGGGTATTGCTTTCAATAGGCCATCTATTTTTCTGATGTCTTGTTCGTCATTTAGGTTATGGATAATGGATCCGGAGCATATGAATAGTATAGCTTTGAGGAATGCATGTGTGCAGATGTGAAGGAAATCTAGGTATGGTTGGTTGATACTGATTATTACGATTATCAGACCTAGTTGGCTTGAGGTAGAGAAGGCGACAATTTTTTTGATGTCATTTTGGGTGAGTGCGCAAATTGCTGTAAATAATGTAGTGATAGTCCCTAGGCATAATGTAAGTGTTTGGATAGTTTTGCTGTTTTCTATTAATGGGTGGAAACGGATTAGTAGAAATACGCCTGCTACAACTATTGTGCTTGAGTGGAGTAGGGCTGAAACTGGTGTAGGACCTTCTACGGCTGAGGGGAGTCAGGGGTGTAGGCCGAATTGAGCGGATTTTCCGGTTGCGGCTAGGAGGAGCCCAATTAATGGGAGGTTGAGGTTGGGTATAAAGATTTGCTGGAAGTCTCATGAGTTTATATTGGACAAGAATCACGCCATTGATATAATGAAGCCAATGTCGCCGATACGGTTATACAGGATGGCTTGCAGGGCGGCTGTGTTTGCGTCTGTTCGACCATATCATCAGCTAATTAATAAGAATGATATGATTCCTACTCCTTCTTATCCGATGAATAGTTGGAAAAGGTTGTTAGCTGTAACTAGGATTGGGATAGTGATAAGGAATATAAGAAGATACTTGAAGAATCGAGTAATGTAAGGGTCTGAGTGTATGTATCATATCGCGAGTTCTATGATGGATCATGTAACAAGAAGCGCTACTGGTACAAAGATTACTGAGAAATAGTCTAGGGCTGGCCCCATGGCTTAGCGGTTGAGTGCACGCACTCCACTGCTGGCGGCTCGGGTTCGCATCCCAGGCATGCACCGACGCACCACTTCTTCGGCCATGCTGAGGCCGCGTCCCACATACAGCAACTAGAAGGATGTGCAGCTATTACATACAAGTACCTACTGGGGCTTTGGGGGAAAAAAAAAAGAAATAGTCTAGTTCGAAGATGAGTGATAGTTTTAGGGTTTGAATGGTTATTCAGTGTCAGTTTGAGATGATTACTTCTTGACCCGAGTGGATAAACGTGATTGTGGGGATGAGGCTAACGCCCAGAGCGTATGAGAGCGTATTTTTTACGTAGCATGGGTAGGTGTTATTTTTGTGGCTCTTTTTTTTTTTTTTTTTTTAAAGTTTTTTTTTTTTTATTTTTCCCCCCAAAGCCCCAGTAGATAGTTGTGTGTCATAGCTGCACATCCTTCTAGTTGCTGTATGTGGGACGCGGCCTCAGCATGGCCAGAGAAGCGGCGTGTCGGTGCGTGCCCGGGATCCGAACCCGGGTCGCCAGCAGTGGAGCGCGCTCACTTAACCACCAAGCCACGGGGCCGGCCCTGTGGCTCTTGAGGGCGGTTGCTGTCATTGGCAGTCTTAATGTCAGTGGTGAGATTAGTACAAGGGAGGAGAACGTATTTGTTACTTTTACTTGGAGTTGCACGAATTTTTTGGTTCCTAAGACCAACGAGTAGCTCCTATCCTTTACCAGTTTGAGAAAGCCATACTGCTAGGTGTGGGGGCATGAATTAGCAGTTCTTGCATGCTTTCTCCGTAAATAAGAAGTTTTGAGTTTCTGTTATTAGATCCACAGTCTAATGTTTTTGTTATACTATATTTACAGTATACAGGTCCTAAAATGATCTTAGGGTTAAGTGACAGGAGTAGAGGGGTAATAGGTGGAGGGTTATGACTGCATTTTCTCGTGTGAGTGATTGTTTGACATTGTTGATATGGTAGGTGTACTTGCCTCTCTGTGTTGTGATCAGTGTGTAAAGGGCGTGCAGGGCGGTAATAATGATATTAGTTTCTATTAGGATAACGGTAGTGTTCGATCATGAGAATGATGATATAACTACAAATAATTCTCCAGTCAGGTTAATTGTGGGGGGTAGAGCTAGGTTGGTTAGGCTTGCCAGTAACCATCATGTTGCTATTAGTGGGAGGAGTGTTTGTAACCCTCGGGCTAGGATTATAGTTCGGCTATGGGTTCGTTCGTAATTTGAATTTGCCAAGCAGAATAATATTGATGATGTGAGACCATGTGCGATTATTAGGGCTGTGGCTCCTATGTAGCTTCGTGCTGTTTGGATAAGGACAGCTACGATTACTAGGGCCGTGTGGCTGACAGAAGAGTATGCGATGAGTGACTTTAGGTCTGTTTGGCGTAGGCGGATTGAGCTCGCTATTACTATTCCTCATAGGGATAGTATGAGGAATGGGTAGGCTATATTGTTTGTTAGGGGATTTAGTATTGTTGTGATTCATAACACTCCGTAGCCTCCTAGCTTTAGTAGAATGGCTGCCAGTACTATGGAGCCAGCGATGGGGGCTTCTACGTGTGCTTTTGGTAGTTAGAGGTGGAAGCCGTGTAGGGATATTTTTACTATAAATGCTATTATGCATGCTAATCATAAGAAAACACTAGATCAGGAGTCAGGCAGTGTTTGGGTTCAGTATTGGATTAGTAAGAAGTTTAATGAGCCTTAAGGTTTTGAATGGAGGTTAGTGTGACTAAGAGTGGAAGTGATCCTGCTAGTGTGTAGAACAGGAAATAGAGGCCTGCGTATAGTCGTTCTGTTTGGTTACCTCAGCGGGCGATGATTGGTGTTGGAACTAGCGTTGCTTCAGATAGAATGTAGAAAAGGTTAGTTCTGTTGCAGTGAAAGTTATAATTAGGAATGTTTGAAGTATAACTAATATTGTAAAGTTTTTTTCAAGCTAGTGTTTCTTTGGATAGGTGGTGTTGGCTGGCTGTGAGTATAAGTGGGAGTAGTCATGTTGTTAGTGCTAGTAGGGTGCTGATAGGGGATCAGAGAAGAATATTAGTGAGAAGTTAAGGCTATTTTCACTGAATTGATTTAGGAAAGATAGGCTAATAAGGCTAATTAGTAGACTGCAGGCTGTAGTGTTAATTCAGGTTATGTTATTTTTTTGATAGTCACATTAGTGGAATTAGTATTACAGTTGGGATGATAATTTTCAACATTGAAGGAGATTGAGGTTTTGTACGTAACCTACCCTGTAAGTGTTAGAAACTATAACTGTTAAGGATAGTCCTAGTGCAGCTTCTCAGGCCGCAAATACTAGTAAGATGATAGGTGTCATGCTGGTTAGTGTAAGGTGAGAGTTCAGGATTATTACAGTTGCTATAATGAATAGTGATACCTTCTAGACTTAGTAGTGAGGATAGTAGGTGAGATCACTATATTAATAGTTCTATGAGGGATACTGTGAATGCTAGGAAGATGTTAATGTGGACTAGGGACATTGGATAATTATGAAATGAATCATAATTTAATGAATCGAAATCATGTGTTTTAACTTTAATTATATTCAGTTCATTCTAACCCTTTTTGGGTTCATTCATATGCTTGGCTGATGGCTATTTGTGAGATTAGAACTAGAACTATTGTGGGTTTGGTTTTCGGGTTGACGGTTTGGGATGCCCATGGTAGAGGTAGGAGGAGTGCAATTTCTAGGTCAAAGAGCAGAAATGTAATGGCTACTAGGAAAGATTTTATAGAGAAAGGTAAGCACACTGATCCTATAGGGTCGAATCCGCATTCATAGAGGCTAGATTTTTCTGTATAAATATTTAATTGGGGTAGTCAAAAAGTGATAAATACTAGTAGTGAGGCCAGTAGTGTATTGAGGAATAGCGTTAGTATTAGGTTGATTATTCTTTTTCCAGTTATACCAAATCTAATTGATTGGAAGTCAATTGTACTGTTTAATACTAAAAGAATAGGACCCTCATCAATAGATAGATACATACAGGAATAGTCATACTACATCTACAAAATGTCAGTATCAGGCAGCTGCTTCAAATATGAAATGGTGGTTGGATGTAAAGTGAAATTTTAGCTGGTGTAGAAAACAGACAATGAGGAAAGTGGAACTGATGATTACGTGTAGTCCGGGGAAACCTATAGCTACGAAGAATGTTGACCCATAGATACCGTCTGAGATTGTAAATGGCGCTTCATAGTATTCTGAAGCTTGAAGTAGTGTGAAGTAGACCCCCAGTGAGATTGTAATGAACAGGGCTTGGAGTATGTGTTTGTGGTTCCCTTCTATGAGGCTGTGGTTGGCTCACGTAATAGAGACTCCAGATGCTGAGAGTACTTGAGGGATTAAGGAGGGGTACTTCTACGGGGTTTAGGGGGGATGCCTGTGGGTGGTCAGCAACCTCCCAGTTTGGGTGTTGGGCTAAGCTTGAGTGGTAAAAGGCTCAGAAAAAGCCGGAAAAGAAGAAGACTTCTGAGATGATAATAGGATTATACCGTATCGGAGTCCTTTTTGTATGGTGGGTGTGTGATGGCCTTGGACTGTGCTTTCTCAAATAGTATCTCATCATCACTGGTATATAGTTAATAAGTTAGTTGTTAATCCTAAGGATAACAGGAATGTTGAGTTAAAGCGGAATCACATTACTAGTCCTGGTGTTATGAGAAGGACTGAGAGGGCTCCCGTAAGTGGTCAAGGACTGGGGTTGGCTATATGATATGCATGGGTTTGGTGGGTCATTAGGCATTATCGTGTAGGTAAAGGCCAACTAGGAGGGTAAACATGTAGCCCTGGATCAGGGCTACTGCAAATTCAAGGATGGTAAGTAAAATAAGAATAATGAATGTAATGAGGGCTGCAGTAAGGCTAACATTTATTAAGGCTAGTGTTGCTCCTCCGATTAGGTGAATTAAGAGATGTCCAGTGGTAATGCTAGCTGTTAGTCGTACAGCTAGGGCTACTGGTTGGACAAATAAGCTAATGGTCTCGATAATTACTAGTATAGGGATAAGGAACATAGGTGTTCCTTGGGGTAGGAAGTGAGCTAAAGATGCTTTTGTTTCATGGCGGAATCCCACAAATACTGTCCCTGCTCACAGGGGAATGGCTATGCCTAGATTTACTGATAGTTGTGTGGTAGGTGTAAATGAGTGTGGTAGTAGGCCTAATAAATTGGTTGAATCAATAAACAGGATAAGCAATATAAGTCTTCGGGTTCAGGTTTGTCCATTGTGATTGTGGAAGGACATTATTTGTTTTGATGCAAGCTGGATTAGTCATTGTTGGATGGAGACCAAGGGGTTGTTGATTAGTTGGCTAGATGAGGGGAGTATAATACTTGGGAATATAATAACTAGGATAACAATAGGTAGTCCTATTATTGTTGGGGTAGCGAAAGAGGCCAATAAATTTTCCTTCATTTTGATTCTCAAGGGGTGGTGTGTATCGGTGTTTTAGTCATTTTTAGTTCTGGGTTTGAAGGGTAAGAGTGCTTTGAGATTTTTAGTTGGAATACAGTTAATAGCGTGATAATTACTGATATAATAGTAATAAATCATGTTGATGTATCTAGTTGTAGCATATCATTAAGGAGAGACTTAAACTCTCAATCTTTAACTTGAAAGGTTAATGCTGTATATCGTCTTAATGATTTTATAATATTGATGCAAATCATTTTTCAAAATATTTTAATGGGACTAATTCGAGAACAATGGGTATGAAGCTGTGATTTGACCCGCAAATTTCTGAGCATTGTCTGTAATATAATCCTGGTCGTGTGGATACGAGAGTTGTTTAGTGTAGGCGTCCTGGGATGGCGTCCGTTTTCAGGCCTCAGGAGGGGACAGCTCATGAGTGTAGGACATCTTCAGATGAAATTAACATTCGGATTGTTATTTCTATGGGTAATACTACTCGGTTGTCAACTTCTAGGAGTCGTAATTCTCCTGGTTTTAGGTCTGACAAGGGATCATGTAGGAGTCAAAGCTTAGGTCTTCATAGTCTGTGTATTCGGAGCTTCAATACCATTGATGGCCTATAGTTTTGACGGTTAAGGAGGGGTTGTTGATTTCATCTATTATACAGAGAATTTGTAACGATGGTAGGGCAATTAGAATTAAGATAATAGCTAGCAGAAATGGGCAAAGGATTGGAGCTGACAATCATGGCAGAAGAGGCATGACACCCATGAGCCTGAGGAAAGATGCCCATCTCACTTATCAGCAGAGAAATACAATCTACAACCCAATGCAGGAGGAACACACACACT